GTTCAGATAGGGCGATAATTTCAAATATTTTTGAGAAAAATATTTCTCAAAAATATTTGAAATTATCGCTCTATTCTGAACGAGTGAAAATACTATTATTAAAATATATATACCTCTTGTGTGCCTCATGTTTTCCACTAATGACATATTTTTTTATATTGCAATTTGACGCAAAGAAGCAGCGATAATATGAAAAATTCAAAAATTACATTTTTGTACGTAACCTCAAATTTCATCACATTATATCACAGGGACCACCATACTTAGCCTGCTATGGCCTATATCTCTAATTCAAATATTTAATACATTATCAATACAACGCTTATCAATTCAAATATAAATTGACACATTCAGTTCAAATTAAGTTTACCAATTTTATGTACAGTATTTAAACAATTCTTATTTAGAACGTAATATTTAAAGTTTTGGATAATTTGAAGTATGTAAATCGTTTATCATCAATCTTTAAGAATATTAGTTTTATATTTCTGCCTTTAGACAGATTATGATTCAAACAATATAGTAATTATTCAAACTGAAGAATCGCTATTCATAGCTATCTGTAAAAATAACCAGTGAATATTTGAACTATATTTTTATTTCCAAAATATTTTTTTACGGTTCGAAAAATATACATAGCAAATATGAAGGTGTTTGTCCCACTGGATATTTCTGTAGATCCACCAAATCCGTATCCCGTGCAATTTACAGAACTGAAATCCCTATTAGGTTCACATTTTAATTTGAATCACCTGTACCTTGTAAAATTCATATGATGGAATATTTATTATTATTATTATTTATACTATTAAGAGACAATTAGAAAATATGATTACAGAACCCACAATCAGCAATATAAATTTAAATTGAAGAAAAGTTGTGTTATGATACACTCAATTACAAGATCTAATACTTAATCAAACAAAATCAAACAAAATAATTTAAGAATTTTAAATTGAATACAATTTAAAATTCTTAAATTATTTTGTTGAATTTTAAATAAGTGATAATCGTAACAGTTTCAGAAGAAAATTCGCTTTTGATTGAATTACAAAAATAGAGTATTTTTAAAATTATACTAGGAACAAACAAATTTTTAACTTTAAATTTAAAGGAATAATTTTTAGATTTGAATAACATCTAAAAATGTTATGGAAAAAGATTAATTAATAATATTTTGACAGTTTCGGGAAGGTTAACTATAGGAAATTAAATTTTATTCAAAAATATTGTCATGTACGGTATAAATTATTTCCTCATTGCATGATTACGATAAATTTACATCGAATTACGGTAAATTGATTTTTAGAAAACTTTACATTTCGGAAAAATACAATACATTTAAAGTAATCGAATCTCCAAGCTTAGTTTGTATGAAATGTTTTTAATTATAAAGCCCTGATCTCATTAATAAAAAACCAATGTAATGGAAAAGCAGTTTTTCTGCATAAAATTTTAATTATAATGTTAAAAAATTAGAGACGAATACCGACAAGAATTTAGAATTACAAATTGTACTTATAAACGCATTGAAATTGAAACGCAAAGCTATTTTAAGTTTTTATTATTTCACGAACTTCTCTAATTTACTCTTTTCAGATTGATTTTTAAAATGAGTGGTATTATTCATGAGAAATTGCATTCGGATTATTTGGATTCTAAAGGATGTTTCGTAGAAAGTCTTCCTAGAGATCCAAAAGAAAAAGACGAATACGAACAAAAGTTAAAAGCACTGAGCAATGAAATTGTCTACTCGTTAGCCAAAATGAAAATGAACGACGAAAGGCCGAATCCTTTAATGTAAATATTTTTATTATGTAATTTTTACTATTAAACCATATATTTTTTTTCTTTTTGGGGCCTATGAGCCAGTCGAGTTTGAATGTCAATTAATAAGTTTTCTAAAAATATAAACTTTATATTTTAAGATTTTAATCTGGAATACAGTACACGACAAACTGAGGCTGTGAAAGCGTCAATCTGTTGTTCTATAGAACCCAGGCTATAGTCCGGGTAAAAAATCTCGAGATTTTCATGTTCCAGATATGTCTGGTTCGTTCTTCATCATCTGGGAACACAGCCGAACGCATTGGCCCATTGGGAACACAGCCGAACGCACAATGGTCATGGAAAAGAGCCCTTTTAGTGTCCATAGAACGAAGAGTTAAAAAATAAAAAATCAGGGATAGGGAAATAAGGGAGGAAACGACATTCCTCACTTCACAAGATCGATTTATACTAATGATCTAACTAATACCTTCTAAAAAGAATGTATCATTAGTAATTCATAGCTACAGCAATGAACAATTTAATGTAAATTTAAAATAAGATTGAGAATCCTTTATCCGAAATGCTTGGAACCGTAAGTGTTTCGGATTTTGAAATATTTGTATGTATATCTGCATCTATAAAATGGGTGAGCTTTAGGATGATCGATTTCACGTCTTTTTTATTTGACTTTTTTAGATTTCGGACTAAGTGACATAAAAACTTTTTATTAACTTTTGATAAAACAATTAAATTTACGCATCTGTATGAATTTCTTTTTTTTTTCTTTAAATTTACAGAAAACTTCGCTTTGTGGCCACTCCTGAAATTTTCCTGTAAAACTGCAAATGTTATAATATAAATCAAACTTCACCACATTGGTGCCACTGGCGTAAGTGGCCAAGATAAGAACATACTAAAATTGACATTTATCTTCATTTACTTGGCCAACAGAACAGTAAACTCCACATTCCTAAAATTAAGGTATTGTTTAAAGAGCTTTAAACGGAATCGAGCTTTGTTGCGATAGTTTTGGAAACGTTTGTTGAGATCCCAACGACAGATGACGTTTAAATAAAATAAATTTTATTATAATGCACAAATTAAATTTCTTTCTAGAATTTAGTAGAAATAATTACATATTCGTTCAATAATCTTATACAAAATCTGATTGTATTTCATAAAAATATAACTATGTAAATCGGCGATGATCAATCTATGTCATTCGCTGGTAACACTCAATGAAGAAAAATATTGATAAACTTGATGTAAAAAGCTTATTTAATTATTAACTTTATTAAATTTTATTTATTTAAAATTATCTTTTCGATATTTGGACACTTTTGCATATTTAGTGACTAATTTTTTTCTGAATTCTTTAGTTGAAATATAGTATTTAAATAAAACCTTTACTATAACTTAACAAAAATGCAGATTTCGTTAAGGTATGGATTCCGTCCACGGGTACAAAACAATTCTATTTAGTTTGGTTTGGGACGATATGGTATACAACGTATAGATGATCTGCCAGGAGGAGTACCCCACGGAAAGACTTTCTATGAGAAACTGGTCCTATTGAAGTGTTTAATTAAGTATATGAATTTTTAAAAACTACGATGACATGAGAAAAAAAGCCTTCCTAGTATGGGCAGAAAGAGTTAAAAAAAACAAAAACCCACATTCTTCGGCAGATCATTAGTCGAATGGCTCGCAATATGAATTTTACCAGAATAAGTTACTGTTGTATATATATATATATACAACATGTATATATATATATATACATGAAATCAAATCTGGAAATAAATTTAGATAGATATACTTGAGATTTTCTTTAGTTTATTGAATCTTATTAGTTTCATTTGACGTTAGTTTAAGATATAAAAAGCACTCCGTATAACGATCTGAAATACTTTAGCCTAATTTTATTAAATTTTATAGTGATTTGGATTCCGCATCTAAAAATTATCGCTTTAATACAAAACACGAAGACGAATTGTTGAAAATTACAGAAAGATTTATCAAGTGTTTTCAAAATTCGTGTCCCAATCGTGCCGAACCTTTTCTAATTGTTTTCAACGAATGTGGCACTAAAGTAAGTATATGAAATTTAAAATAATTGACCATAATTGATATATTTAAAATATATATATATGCAATATTTTTAGAAATTAATTACAACATATCTTGAACCAGTCTCTTTGCACTATTACGAATTATTTGAATGGCAATCATGTTCTAAATTTATAGCAGATTTCATGAAATATAAATGTTTAGAATGCCCAATACGCACAGTAAGTTCTTTTAAATTTTTAAGGGTTATTGATATAATATTTAAATATCATTTTGTTGCGGATTTTCAGCCAATAATTGTTCCGTCTCCCAAATTTTCTGTTGAAAAACAAGAAGGAAATAGTTTAGATCTTAGTATGATCTTATATTGTCTACTGTCTGCATCACTTTATGATGTTTACATCGTACATGGATATGCATCTCTCGAGGTTTGCGAAATGGATGAAAGAAACAAATCTAATCCTCCTCTGGATGAAGATCCATTTGATGATGATGAGGTTTTGAAAAACAAGTTGTTTATTTAATTAAATCTTTATATAAATATATGAGACATTTAATTACAAAGATTATTTTATAGCAGATACTAAAAGAAACTCCAAAAGAAGTGACAAAATATATACCGAAACCTCCGATGCAGTTTTATAGCAAATATGATAAAACAATGGGCATAAAACATGAAACATGTGAAGAAAACAATGTGTCAAATATGGACGAAGATAACGCTTGTAATGAATCCAATGAAAATAACAGCAATGATGATGCCAGCGTTAAATCTGTAAGTCCGAAATTTCATAATAAGTTGACTATAAATATTTTGGATTTGTAAATATACATAGCGAAATAATATAATAAAATATAAGACCGATGCAGGTACAGTAATTGCGCCACTCCTATCAATTACTCCACCGAAATGTATATCGGTTAATATATGAAATTGTTGATAAATGGCATAAACTGTACCTTAAAGCATAACTACGTAGAAACGAACTACCTTGAAGTGTTTTGTTTGGTTTTATAGTCATTTGTGTCATTAAGTTCCGTTGAAAGTTTCTCTGTTTTTTAATTGTGTTACTTAATTGTGCTACTTAATTTGAGTTGTATAGAATTCTTTTAAAGGTAAAAATTTTTATCTATAGTCATTTTGAAGTAAAATTTAACTTACTTTAAAAATATAATATCAGTTTTGTTGATAAATATTCAGAAAGAACAGAAAATAGATTATTGTATTTAATAGCAATTATGCCACTCGTGCGTTTGAAATAATATTATATTTGAAATAAGTTACAAAGCAAACACAGTTGCTTTGTAACTTATTTCAAATATTTACCATACAAGAAATCTCCGGTGTCTTCGTGCAACAGCTTTTTCATTCATTGCTGTCAACACCGAAATTCATAAAAAGATAGAAGCCAAGGAAAAGAAAGGCACCAATTAATGCAAAAGATACTCAAATCACCATATTCCTTTTTGGGAAACCCTTGAAGCTTCTCCATCGAAAAAACAAACAAAAAAAAAAAGAATAAAAATACCAATAAAGTTGCAGGTAAAAGTTCCAGGAAAAATAAAAATTTTGTGAAGAAAATATCAGTCTTGGTATTGCTTCAATCTGTGCCGAAAATGAAGTTCGTGATATGCATCAGTGCGCTATCTGTAAACAATGTCCATGAAGATTGTGTAAAATTGACAGCAACTGACAAACAAATCTTCTTTTGTTCTGAATGTGATCACTAAGTTCATTGATAAAAAAGTTCTTTTTTTATTAGTTATTTTTTTGAATTTCCGTCAGATGAATAAATTACTTTTTACAAAATTAAAAGACAAAGTCGTTCTAAAAATATATATTTCAGACGATTACCATTTTTACAAAGTGTTCTAGAACAAAGTACAGACAGCTGGACCTTCCTTTTTAGGCTACACAACTGCCTATATTTAAAAAGTTCCTNTTTATATTATTCTACTATGAAAATGATTAAATTAGAAATTTATGTATATCTAAATATATAAAATTACTTGTCCTGACTGACTGACTGAGTGATTGACTGATTCATCATCGCCCAGCAGAGCTAACCGCTGAACCTAAAAAAGGCGAAATTTTGTACACAGAGTAGGTCATGAAAATGCACACAAAGAAGGGATTTTTCGAAATTCCGGATTTTTCGAAATTTCCGGATCCACGGGAGGAGAGGAAGAGGATTAAGGCTTAACCCGAAGAACGGCTTCTACTGTACTATTTTAGATACGATTTTTTCTTTTCAACTACGTTTAGTTTTCATCGAGTACTTAAGTGTATTAAATTGATAACCTTTCAGACATTGTTATAAGTATTTTTATATATTTCGATTTTTTAACCAAATGTTCGAACCGTTTTAAATTCGAATTTGTTATTGCATATCGGTTCGATTATAGAACGATTGTAAACGTTCCAGAAAATTGATCAAATTGAAAATAGTTCGTTTGATTCTCAGCGGTAGGTGTTATATAAAAATTACTATGGTTGTTGAAATACTGAATATAAATGGGGTTTGATTGCAAAACTCCAGCGAGCAATAGCTAGTACAGTATATTTTTTTCAATTGTCTTTTTTATATTTTATATTTTTCTAGTCAATCGACTAATTGTTAGTGTTTTTGATCTCCGATTTCCCTCATGAGATAAATATTTTGATTGGTTTTTCTCGAATTGTATCAATAGCTTTCAACAGTCTTTATGATTTATTCGTGGTATACATTTTATTCTTGCTTGTTATTGAAGAAACCGTGACCTTTTTTTTTCCCTGGATATTACAATTCAACAAATTTTAGAGTTTGTCAGGCAATAATTATTGTTTTTTTTCCCCTATCAGAAATCCCGTAGGTTGCTTTCGCAGGATTTCGTTGTGTGGTAATTTGTTTGTTGTGTGTGATTAAGTAGATTTAAGCAAAGAAACCTAAGAAACCAGTAAGTATGGCATATGCAGTAGTACCAACTTTCTTCGAATAATAGCTGCAGTTACTATTTTAAACTGTATATTTTCTCTACGGTTACTATTCAAGGCCAGTTTTTAGGTACTTTTTTCATACTCGTTATTAATTAATTAAGTATTTAAATATTTATTCATAAAAGCTTGATTTTTTTAAAACAAATTATACTTGAAACGGCAGTTAGTACTGTATTTTTCTTTATAATGACTGTTACTTTCTATATATTAGTAATAAGGAAATAATTATAACAAAACCTATTGTATATTGTACATTTTACATATTTCTTAATAACATTTCTTTGTTAAATAAATAAAAGTGGTAGGTAACGGCGTAATTACAGGTTTTAAGTTTAAATAGTTTCCTAAGTTTTCAAAAATCCTCGAATGACATGCGACGCGTTTTCTACTCGAAGGCGGCAATTATTCAAAACTTTAAGACAAAATACAATTATCATTCTAATAAAAGCTGTATTCATATCATAACGTGTTAGATGATTCAGAAAAACTGTTTATATAATTTTTGTATGTGATTTAACTCCAAATTTCGTCATTTAGGGCCATTTTAATAAACTTTCATATTCTATTTTTTAAACTATGTTGCGTTTTGCAAATGAAGTCGGCAATTTTTTGTAGTATATATACATCTTATATACATCTTCTTATATATATATATTAATGAAGTCGGCAATTTTTTGTAGTATATATACATCTTATATACATCTTCTTATATATATATATTAATGAAGTCGGCAATTTTTTGTAGTATATATACATCTTATATACATCTTCTTATATATATATATTAATGAAGTCGGCAATTTTTTGTAGTATATATACATCTTATATACATCTTCTTATATATATATATTAATGAAGTCGGCAATTTTTTGTAGTATATATACATCTTATATACATCTTCTTATATATATATATTAATGAAGTCGGCAATTTTTTGTAGTATATATACATCTTATATACATCTTCTTATATATATATATTAATGAAGTCGGCAATTTTTTGTAGTATATATACATCTTATATACATCTTCTTATATATATATATTAATGAAGTCGGCAATTTTTTGTAGTATATATACATCTTATATACATCTTCTTATATATATATATTAATGAAGTCGGCAATTTTTTGTAGTATATATACATCTTATATACATCTTCTTATATATATATATTAATGAAGTCGGCAATTTTTTGTAGTATATATACATCTTATATACATCTTCTTATATATATATATTAATGAAGTCGGCAATTTTTTGTAGTATATATACATCTTATATACATCTTCTTATATATATATATTAATGAAGTCGGCAATTTTTTGTAGTATATATACATCTTATATACATCTTCTTATATATATATATTAATGAAGTCGGCAATTTTTTGTAGTATATATACATCTTATATACATCTTCTTATATATATATATTAATGAAGTCGGCAATTTTTTGTAGTATATATACATCTTATATACATCTTCTTATATATATATATTAATGAAGTCGGCAATTTTTTGTAGTATATATATATATATACATATACTACAAAAAATTGCCGATTTCATTTGCAAAACGCAACATAGTTTAAAAAATAGAATATGAAAGTTTATTAAAATGGCCCTAAATGACGAAATTTGGAGTTAAATCACATACAAAAATTATATAAACAATTTTTCTGAATCATCTAACACGTTATGATATGAATACAGCTTTTATTAGAATGATAATTGTATTTTATCTTAAAGTTTTGAATAATTGCCGCCTTTGAGTAGAAAACGCGTCGCATGTCATTCGAGGATTTTTGAAAACTTAGTAAACTATTTAAACTTAAAACCTGTAATTATGCCGTTACATACCACTTTTATACTTTTACAAAATATATATATTATATATATATACAGTGGTACCTCAGGATACGAAATTAATTCGTTCCGAAACTGAGATCGTATCATGAAAATGTCGTAAGGTGGATCATCTTTTCCCATACGATTACATGTAAAACCAAATAATTCGTTCCAACGCGAAAAACATACTCAAATTAAAGCCAAGTAATACATTTAAAAAAATAACTGTAGTAAGAAAAACAAATGAAAAATGCGAACTAATGTAACGTCGTATGGTGAGT